CTCCTGTTTTGGCGTCTCAGTGGAGGGGACGGCCGATTCCTACGATTCCAAACGCAAGTCCCTGATTGGGACTAATTTGGTCCCAGTCGGGGAACACTTTTTGGTCCAACTTTCTCCGAATTGAAATCCGTTTGCACCGTTGTGATCGTACATTTAAACTCTATCCAACGATATAATTTTTATATTTATTTGTAACACTTTTTCTGACATCATATTTTTGGGTGGTTGACTTTGACAGAGTCAAAATTGATTTAATTGACCTTTACTCAAAAAGGTGCTCATATTCAATTCATATTATTTATTTCCATGATTTATTTCAATAAATCATTTCAAAGTTCACTACATAATTAATTTCTTTATTTATTCTTGATTTGGGTCTGTACTCATGTTCCCAATCAAGACCACACAAATATTCAACATATTGGATTTATCTCTATGAGATTTATCCAGATTAAGATATTGGATATCAAAACACATCTCATTTCGGCCCAAAGCCTAATAACTATTTAATTTAATCGAAACAAATTTGACTAATTGAATATTTATTCATTAAAAATTTTAGGGTATGTTTTGGGGCGTTACAGTTTTAGCCTTAAATTCCTTCCAACGGTCAGGTCCCTACATCGATGTTCAATACTTGAACATCGCTGTTTAGGTCTGACTTTGAAAGTGGAGTTTTGGCCTGACAGCGCTGTTGCTGGGTCAACATCGCTGTCCAAAAACTTTCTGCCAATGCACTATATTTTGGCTTAGGTTGGACAGCGCTGTAGGGAAGGCTACATCGCTGTTCGAGATGTTTTTGGAAACCCAACCTTGGCTCAACAGCGATGTCTAATATGCAACATCACTGTTGGAAGACTTAACGCCAAACCATGGTTTTCAGCTACCCAAGCCAGACAGCGCTGTTGGTTGCACCAACATCGTTGTTGGGCTGGTTTAGCCAGACCCATGGTTGGTTTAGTCATGCCGTTAGCCGATGTCAAAAACGTAACTTCTCTAAAATAAAAACAAAGTATTGAAAACATTTGTTTATTGCATTTTTCTAATAAATCAAGTAAAACAACTCAAAAACCACGTCATTTAGTTGAAAACCACGGCTAACCAAGTTTGTGTTGTTTCGCATGGTTTTCACTAAACGACCAAAAACAGAAGGTGGTTTTTGAAGCGTTTTTGTTGGAGAACTGTTTAAATATGCCCAGAAGTAAAAACCAATCATAAAAAGTTGAAAACCACTTGGTTGGTTCGGATGCCAAAAACCGAAAGCCGAACGCCGGTTTCTTAAAGCCGAACGCCGGATGACTTGGTTTTTGGTTTAGACGAACTCCAAGTGTTTTTTTGGCAGGTTTAAAACTTAAGAAAAACAATTTTGAATATGCAAAAAACATTTTGATGAAAAGAGCCTAGAGAGCCAAGGTTTGAAAGTTTGTGCCGGTCTTGATCACATTAAGACCGACTCAATACAATTCTAAGTCTTCGTTCTTGGTTCTTGGTTCTCAAATCATCATGCCATGTTCCTTCGCCTTTGTTTTGCTCACGTTAACCTTGTTATGTCACGGCTGTTTGGCATTATAAAAACTTGTCATAAAACGAACACGGTTTAGTATGACGTAGACGTAAACCCGTGTTCCAACTATTTCCCCCTTTTTGATAATGGCAAACAAGACGGGGATATTCATACTAGGAGATATTTGATTTTCAAAAAGTTGTGAAAAAGTCCCCCCTTAATTTGTGCTTATAAAACAAGTAGTAGGGTTTAAAATCAAACGGTCTCGTTAGAGGCGTTCCCCCTTAGTATATGCATAGCCCTTTTCTTCTCCCTTTTGACATTAACAAAAAGATAAAAGATAATTTGATTTATTAAAATTGAGAAATAGCGGAGTACAACGGAAGCAATAAAAGACATGATAATTAAAGGAAAAGAGATAGAAGTTCTAGGACAGCGCTGTTATGCCCTTGTACAGCGCTGTTCTGCGTCCAGTTTAAAAAAAAAAACAGGAGTCAATTGGACAGCGATGTTGGGTACCCTACAGCGATGTTCCAAAAGTTTCTGGAATTGTGTAAGGGTTTGAACCCATTAGAACAGCGTTGTTGGGTTTCTCTACATCGCTGTTTTACGATTGGAGAAAAAATTTGTAAAAATGGACATCGATGTTGAAAAAGTTTCTGGAAAGCAAAGGTAAAGGGAACTCCCTGGGGCAGCGCTGTTGGTGTATTGTACAGCGCTGTTGGCTCAAGCTGGTTGACAGTGTTTCCTTCAACAGCGCTGTTGGGTCTCCTGGACAGCGCTGTAGGCATGGTTCCCCCTGATTTCATGAACGGGGTTCCTGCAAAGTAACACTTTGGTACCCAAAATATTTTTATGGGTCCTTGGAGGTTAATTGGTTTTTATTATCCACACACACACCGAAAGTTTATTTCCACACACACCTTCACACACTCGGTTTGATGATAATTTAGGGGTTACCTTGGCCAACCCGTCGTCCCGTGGTTCCAGTCTACCTGAACGGAATGCCGATATCTCGGTGTGATTTGTGTCGGTTCTGGTAACGGAATGTGGACTTTCTTCTTTTCGTCAAAGTAGAAGAAATAGTAAGGTTTCTTTTGTGCATTAGCCTGTGGAGATTGTTTATGATACGAATATCATTTTCTAAAGGATTTCTTTTCGTTAGCACCAAATATGTTGTGTGTTTCATTATAGGTGAGATGCCTATGTCTAGTAAAACACACGGGAGCTATATGTCCTACCCTATTGCAATAATGGCATACTACGTTTGGGTTGAACATATGCCTAGGTTGATAATAGCTAGGGGGTCTAACCATATTCATCCTATTTTGAGAAAAGGATGTTTTATGCATGTTTTCAAAAGAATCATTTCTAGGTGTCCTTATGTTATTTCTCCTATTTTG